GCGATTTTTTTTTCCGTACGAAACATTTACATGAAACTCCACTCGGGCCGTCTCGGCTGAATCGACCCGAAAATCTCATTGCAGAATTCAGGCTGTCTCTAATAGCAGGACGGCATGATCATTGCAGGTTTTCTTGAAAACTTAGATGAGAATGTGTTAAAGGTGCAAATTGTCGGAAAAGGAGTAGTAGGACTAGGATATAGACAAATGAAAGAAGATGAAAGTTGGTCCAGGGAGCTCTCATCATTCTGTCAAAGATAAATATCCTCACTTTGATATTGACTAAAGGAGAATGTGATTCCACTTCACACCTCAAATCATGCCAACATTCACAGTCCCAGGATTGATTGGGTTATTGAAGGGGGCGTTTATTCAAATTAGAAGGGGGTGCTTATTCAAACGGGGCGCTTAAGGCAATTTTCTCGTTATGAGGGGCGCTTATTCGATAGGGGCGCTTATTCAAACGGGGCGCATATTCTCGGGAGTACGGTAATACAAACATTGTCACCACCCCCACATTGCTAACTAACAATAACATAACACATTTACCGAGACAAACCCTTAGCCCTGGCAATTAAACCACCAGCACTTACTGTACCTTCAACATCCTCATCACCAACAATGACTTCACTATTATTCCTTTTAACATGAATACCACCACAAATCATCATTCATCACCGGCACCAACATCACTGCCACCATCACATTTATAGTAAATCATTACCACCACTGCAACTACAATCACTACTGTACAATTGCCACAGTCCTCATCTTAATTTCTATCTATATATCTTCATCACCTACAGTACATACATTACCACTACAGTACTACCATTATCAAGTTAACATAATTACTACTACCAAACCATCAACATCACCACAACAACCAATCATCATCAACATCACCACCCAACCTTTATCAACCTTACCAGCACTACCAAAAATGATACAGGAATCTAGTATTTAGTAGTAATATACCTATTGACAATGGCTACCAACAAACCATCATCAACAAATGGTAGTCAAGTCAACCTGGCTACTACTATTATTTTAACATTTGTGTTTACGATTTGCCATAAAGGTACAAATGTCCCATTCCCCTGCTATCAAACTACCTTTAATAAAATCAAGAACCCTATAAATGGGGTTAAAGGTTAGTGCGAAATTCAATGAAATGGAGTGCTCACAGGATATCCAGATATTGCTATTTGCTTTGTCATCTACTGTAGGATTATAAAAACAATGACTTTGTGAAAAATTGACCAAGCATACAATAATAATGCAATCTTCAGGTAGATCAAATTAACCAATTTGCCAAAAACAACAGTAAACAAGGTGAATAGACTTATTAGTATGGGATTGTTGGAAATGTAATTGGGAATACTGTTAAATGGATTGTTTTTCTCAAATTTCAATCATCTCCTATAAACCAGAATATATACAGATAGAAAGTCAACAACCTCCAGTCTCCATCCAACTAAAATATTGTTCATTTCAAAAAATGATTAAATCATCAGGGGCGGGTTTAGGGGGACCCTTTTGCAAAGCAAAAAAAAAAAAAAAAAAGAAAGAAAAAATTGATTGAAACGCCTCAGAGGTTATTTTTGGGCGTTTAGAAAACAACATTTTTGTGGGGCATGCCCCCAGACCCCTTACGGTAGTGTTATCTCGATCGGCCCCACTTTTGGTCCCCTTTCGGACATTACTGGATCCTGATCATACCCTAAAATCATCTTTTTATGTTTAACCATGGAAGTATAAAAATCATTAACATCCCATCAGCTTTGAAACAAACAAAAATCAAAATGTATATTTACTATATTTCATATGATGTTAAGTTTTACTTAATGCAAAGCCTACACAGACCATTGATTTTGTTTTGTGTGTATACCACTGTTGTAAAAAGTATAATAATAATTATAATTATCATTTTTTTTACCATTGGAACAAACAAACATACATTCCACAGGCATGTATTGTTTGAAGGAGCTTTGAAGGAGTGTTTATTCAAGGGAGGCATTTATTTTTGTTGGTGTAAAATGGATACATATACTCAAATAAATGCCCCTCAATTTTACCGTACATGTGGAACTACAACCGTCAAATGTGTTATTGCGTGATCATAAAGACTTATTGATCCAACCAGATTGAAAAAACATAATTCTACTGAGAGAAGAACATTAATAGAATATGTTGAGATTCGAGAATGATTGCTTCCATTAAGTTTGTTTACAATCATTTGGGGGAGGAGATTTACAGGCATTTATTCCAAATGAGGCTCTAAAGAGGGAGTTTACTGTATATTGAGAGGGAATTTATTTAAAGTGAGGCAATTCGAATAAACGGTGTAATTTTAATAAATGAGGTATTCTTTCTTTGAAAGGCCTCTCCAATAATTATGATTTCCATAGTCTGCTTGAGGTTTAAAACTCTGTCCTCGAATAAATGTCCCCCTAAATGGCTGTAAACAAAACTTCTCAAAAGCCCATCTCAAAAATAAATGCCTAGGAGAATTTTACTGTAATACAATAGTACTATATAGTTAGAGTATATTTATGACTGTTTCATGGACTTAAAGGTACCTGTAGTTCTATTCATTACTGAATGAAGGGGAATGAGCTGTTAGCCCATCTTAGTAAGCCTTGGCATTGTGTGGTAGGGTGGCCAGTTCCATTCCATGCCGCCTTTTCCCTCCCAAGTAGTGACCCACCGGGTACACATTTACACTCCTGGGTGGTAAGAGACAAACGTACAGTAGGTAAAGTGCCTTGTCCAAGAACACAACCGAAATGCACAGCGAAGGTTTGAACCCCGACCTCGAGAGACCAAAACCACTGCGCCAACGGCTACCACTCCAACCTTACTTAAACTGGACATATATCCTATATGTCATGCTTAGGTAATACTAGAACCCTGCAGTTGTCAACATATACTATTATGCAGTTAGTCATTAATTTGAACAGACACTATTTTCCAGTGAGTCTATTAATTATTGACCAGAAAATGTTGCCATTTTGAAGCACTGCAATCAAATTTTGGTCTGAGTTGTGGCTAATGGGAGGGCTCAATCTGTTTGTTTCTCCACTGATGCCACTAATGAAATATATTTATATTTTTTTAACAGATTTTAATCATTAATCATGTTTTCTCAAAACTAAATTGTAATTAATAATACTCACTGTCATTGCTACAGATATAGTATTTTGTCAAATTGTTCTCATCATCAATTTATCATCAAGTTCCATCAATAAATTCATGATTCATGTTTTTATTATTCAAAATGAGTTGTACAATACTGTAGTATGTATTTTGTGAGATGATAAGCCTAACAGCCTACTGTACCTGGTACTGCGGTCCATCCGTGTCTGAGAGAAGAGGTGAACCCGAGTCAAATCCGCTAAAACTTCTTGGTTTTACATCTGTTACCCTAACTTCCATTCCAAAGTCATCGTCATCGTCATCAAATCCTCCAAGCTTAGAATAAGACATGTTGGTAGGAATAAAATCAAGGTGATCTTCACTTGGGATTCAAATTTACAATGAAACTGTCTGGAAAAGTAGACAAAAGGGGAAGGTTTAACGTTATCAAATATTTTGTTAAAGTAGCTACATTATTCACATTCTTTAATAGTTAAGAAATTGTACTCTAATACTGGAGGGAAACCTATAGTACATGTTAAAATGGGGGCAAGGTTAGCAAAAAAAACCCAAAAAAAACCACCTCCCTTTCTCATCAGTTTTTATTCTTTGATAGGGTGATAAACTATAATTTTTATTATTGGGCTTAATGGTGCTCTTTTTGGTTTACTCTTCCCCTTTAGCTGGACACCGTTGTAGACAGTTGAAAGGAGGCAATCTACTGTATAGTTGTATTTTTTAATTAAAAATATTATGATGGATCAATGATCTTTTGTGAAAAAATGAAATCGAAGACTACTTAAATTAAAATAATACAATAGTTATAATAAATAATAAATGACTTATAGTCATTGTTATTATTTTCCTTTTTTTTTTCACTCCAGCACTTAGGGACCTATATAATTTTAACTTGATTTTTAATAATAACAAAATTACAAACTGAATTAAATTTTAAAAAAATTATTTACATAGGGACTCCTTTTTTTCCTTGTGATGTCTGTGATTTTTGTTTGTTCTCTACCGTTGTTCTTTTCTAGACACTGCGCTTCCAGCACCAATTTTGGTGGCGATGTTTGCACTTTACAAATCGTTATTTTTATTATTAGATAGGTCACGAATAATACCACCAAAATTTCGAATAAATAAAGACACTATGAGGCATTAAATGAAACAAACAACCATCTTTAATCATATTATTATTATTATTATTATTATTATTATATATTATGCACTATTCTATACAAATCCCAATAACATTATTATTATAAATAAAGCATTTTTATGTAATTTTTATATTTTGTATAAAACCGGTAGGGATTTTTAAATGTAAGCTTTTGATCTGTTTTATTGTTAATATATAGGAGAGCCTCTTGTTGATAGATATTTTTGTAATCCTCAGGCTTTTTTTTTTTGTATTCGTTTATTGTATGTTGCCAGTGTTGAAATAATTATTAAAAATATGAAATGAAATAAATTAAAATACTACAGTAGGCCTAGGCCTAGGTTAGTTGTTGTAGACTGTAGGCAGTGTTTAGTCATGTACTGCGTACGTCACGAATGACTGGTCTTCTACGTAAACACACCTTGACGACAAGAGTGACTCACCACCCGGGGGAAAAGATAGCCGTGCTAGCAGCTAGGCCGATCGGGCCTGGAGTTCGGGAAAAATTCCTGGCATTATAAAATGAACAAGAAATAAAAAGAATGTACAAGTACTTACGCGTTTGAGGCCCGCGTTTGATTAGTTTAACTTTAGCTCCAGAATTAACGAAAGTTAAAAACCGGAAAACAACGTCGTTGTACGATACTGAAATTAGTTAAAACACAAGGCCCTTTCCTTCGCTTCTTGGTCTAAAAACTTTTTGTGTGAAAGCTTTGGTGAGAGTTCATTAGGCAAGTCCATATTTGACAAGGGGTATACAACTCATCATCTCCAACGAAGTTGTAAAAATCATACATGATTTATACTAATTTTAATATTCCATCACTAAATAAAAGAAGACTAGTAGAAACAGAACATAAATAAATGTATTATGGAATAATAATAATAATTGAGATTCAAAATATGGGTAATATTACTTACCTTCAAGAAATGGAAGAACCATAAAACATGGCTGCGCCCACAGATCGATTGTAGTCAGAGGACAATGTGAAAAGTAAACATGAAATGTTTTTGGTGTTTAAGTCGTATTTCTTGTATATTAGTTATTCTGTCTTATTCAGAATGCATGTTCACTAGTGATGAGATAATTTCTTTTCGGTAAGTTACGATTCACAGCTGTTTAAGCTAGGCTACTACAACTAGGCCTAGTAGTAGTACTAGCCTAGACTTGGCCAGTTAGCAGAGTCTCGGATAGCCAGGCTAGTCTAGCCAGTACTACTAGGCCTAGTAGGCCTACTATGCCTAGACCTATCTAGTTAGGGCCACCGAGGCACTGACTCGCCCTCTCAGGCTGGATGTGGGTAGGTAGGTATGATATGGTGGGTGTGGGTTTACACATATTTCTATATAATGACTTTTATAGTTAAGTTATTTTTCTATCCAATTTCAATTTTGGATGTGTGCCACTGTAATAAAAAAGTGATTCCAGATAAAAACTAAAATATGTGCCACAGTTAATTGAGCCAGTCAATAAAATTATGATTCGTCTGTAGGCCTATATAAAGACACATTCTTATTTTTTACAGTGAACGTGTCCGGGAAATGTTTCAGTTTGGTTATGAAGGATATTTGAAACATGCTTACCCTTACGATGAGTTACAACCTTTGACATGTGATGGCGTTGATACGTGGGGAAGGTTTGTTAAGTTTAATAAAAATAAAGGAATGAAAATAAAATAAAGTTAAAGTTAATGTAAAACCTTAGAATCTCTCTCACATGTTTCCTATTCTGGTAGCATTTTGAAGTCAACCACTGAAAAGTTGTTCAGTGACGACCACATATTCTCTTGGAGAGGAAGGCTAAAGTGCAACAAATACTGTTTGTTCCAAAGCCACATTTTTCTTAATATTTTCAATACCTGACTATGATAAAACTTATGATGATGAAATAAGTAGTAATTTACAAATATGTTTTTCTTTATATTTTTTCCACGACTTCAGCTACTCGTTAACCTTAATTGATGCATTGGACACTCTCGCTGTGATGGGCAACTACACAGAATTCAACCGAGTTGCAAGGCTGCTGGTGGAAACGTTGGATTTTGATGAAGACATCAATGTGTCCGTGTTTGAAACAAACATTCGGGGTAACAACCAAAATATTAATTATAGTAAATAGAATAAACAAGATCTTAGAACAATATACATTTTATTTACTTTGGTTATTTAATATCATTTAATAAAATATTGAATCAAAATAAATTTTATTTTATTCTTCTATAATATTCTATTATATTTTTGCCACAGTTGTTGGTGGCCTTATCTCAGCACACCTAATGTCTCGAGACACTGGATTCCAAGTGCATGCAAATTGGCCGTGTGAGGGCCCACTCCTCAACCTTGCAGAGCAAGCTGCTGAGAAGATTATCGCAGGTTTGATTCTGTTTAGTAAAAAATTGTTGCTTGCCCTCAATTAAAACAACACTGTGTAGTGAATTGTGTTAATAATGTGGCGTTACAATTGCATTCATTAACACGTCAACTGCCAAGCCCTTTTCCTAATTCCATTCTATACGCCAAGGCATAAAGGGTGCCTATAATGAAAATATTTCCATCAACTATCTAGTGATCATCCTTAAATTTGATTATAAAATGCCTATACATCAGTAATTTAGATGAGCCTATCTATCTATCTTCCGATAAGTACAGGCCTCACTGATATGAGGATTATCATACTAGTAGAGGCATGGACTATAGGTTGTACAGTAACATTCTTCTCTCCTAAGGGTCCCTTTGTGTCTGAGCTCCATGGTAAATCGGTATCAGTTACTCTTGTCTGTTTACAACAGGAGCTTTATGGTAAACCCCCCCCCCCCCTACTGTACTTGTCTCAAAAGATGTACTGGGTTCTTTATAGTACACATGAGCCATTTTTACACTGGGCCTACAGTTTATACTGTAGTCCTTATCGAAGAGAACTTGTTTCACCACCAGAATCATAGACGGGCGTGCCGTTTGAACCAGCACCGATATTATAGCTGTACTTTGCAGCACCCCTGCCTTAGCCACTTTGCCATTCAACTCACCTATTATTGAATGACTTATATAGTAAATGTTTATAATTACATTTCTGTAGCATTTGATACAAAAACTCGAATGCCATATGGAACAGTGAACTTAATGTATGGAGTACCCAAGGGTGAGACGCCCATCACCTGCACTGCTGGAGTCGGTACATCTGTCTCTTATACACATCTAGATGTGTATAAGAGACAGGAATAATACCACCAAAATTTCGAATAAATAAAGACACTATGAGGCATTAAATGAAACAAACAACCATCTTTAATCATATTATTATTATTATTATTATATATTATGCACTATTCTATACAAATCCCACTAACATTATTATTATAAATAAAGCATTTTTATGTAATTTTTATATTTTGTATAAAACCGGTAGGGATTTTTAAATGTAAGCTTTTGATCTGTTTTATTGTTAATATATAGGAGAGCCTCTTGTTGATAGATATTTTTGTAATCCTCAGGCTTTTTTTTTTTGTATTCGTTTATTGTATGTTGCCAGTGTTGAAATAATTATTAAAAATATGAAATGAAATAAATTAAAATACTACAGTAGGCCTAGGCCTAGGTTAGTTGTTGTAGACTGTAGGCAGTGTTTAGTCATGTACTGCGTACGTCACGAATGACTGGTCTTCTACGTAAACACACCTTGACGACAAGAGTGACTCACCACCCGGGGGAAAAGATAGCCGTGCTAGCAGCTAGGCCGATCGGGCCTGGAGTTCGGGAAAAATTGTTAAAAAGAACGGCGCCTGTCTCTTATACACATCTAGATGTGTATAAGAGACAGACGCTGAGCCGTCTTACAGGCAACCCAATGTTTGAGGACGTGGCATTGGAGGCATTGGATGCATTGTGGGAAAGAAAATCAGAAATTGGCTTGGTAAGCACTGACTGCCTTTTGACACCAATACAATTATTTGTGTTAATATTCTAAAACATAGTACTGTACACTTTTTAAGGCCAAAATATAAAATTGTTTTGTTTCCCAAGAACAATAGCATTTGAAAATCAAGGTCGGATTGTCAGCCCTACTTCTAGGGTTTAATTCAGTCTCTGGAGGAAGAAAATTTTTGATAAAAAAATACAAGTTTAAGAGCTTTAATTAGGGAGTTAGCGTGATGTCTCGAAAGACATTTTGCTGACTAAACGGATGAAGAATGTATGCCGATTTTTCTAAGACACAAAAGCCATATATTGGGAATGGTTAATGAGATACAGATTTTTGAATATTTAAGAAACTGGGGGAAAAGGCATAACCACTATTTTTTCTACCTTTCCCCCCGTTTTTAAATATTAAAAAATAACCATTCCTGAGTTTTTCGTCAGGTATGCTTTTTGTGTTGTGGAAAAATCAGTTGTACAAAATATCAAATAAATTTTTTCCTGGAGCCTAACTTAAATGCCAACATCCCTCATCCTTTGCATTTTAAAGGGCTAAATCCATGGTACTACTTATAATTTTGTGCTCATTCTGTGCCAGAAAATAAAGCTGACTCTAGATATAACCTTTATTGCAATCTCAAAAATAATTTTGATTGGATACAATACAATACAATGTGTAGGCATAATAAAACAAGAGAACAAGAAAAAAAGTTCCAATGAACACATCAAAACGCATGAAAAAAAAAAAGATTTTTTAGATTTTTGGGTCGGTCAAGTGGTTTTTTGCTTAATATGGAAATGCCAGTTGATTGATGATTTTTTTCAGGTGGGCAATCATATCAATGTAGAGTCAGGTAAGTGGACAGCACTTGACGCTGGTATTGGCGCTGGCATCGACTCTTACTTTGAATACCTTCTCAAAGGAGGTTTGTTGCTAGGCAACAGTCATCTGTTGGAGATGTTTTATGGTATGTATTTTTGAGGAGTTTGTTTATGCAATGCAATACAGTGTTCATGATATAAATGTGCCCCTGATTTGCTCTGGAATGAATTCCCATCTACATTCTTTGCTCTCTGTTTTCAAGTAGAGACTTAAATCACACCTTTTCCAGTCTTTTTGATTTATCTCTGTTTTCTGTTAATTTTCCACTTTTGTTGCTAGGACAGGCTAGGCCAGATGCCAACACTATTTGAGCACTTGTGAGTCATGTACCTGCTAACCACTGCTTGTTGGTGGTCTCTAATTGCAAGTGAATGGTGTGATAATGTTGGTTCCTCTGCGTTAGTCTGTTTCAGTTATTTATTTTAGCTAGGTTAGCTCAGTTAACCTACTAGAATAGATTTTTCTGTACAGCGTATGGTGACCACATATTACCGTATGCGCTATATAAATCTCCAAACATTACCATAAAAAAATATAAATACAAACATAATTAACATTATTTCGGAAACAAGTTTTTAGTAAATAACAAAATACAATGAAAAAGCTAATTTTACATGGGTCTCAATTATAATGCTCTTTCTTTCACAGAATATGAAACAATGATTGAAAAATATATCAAGAAGGATGATTGGTACATGTGGGTACAGATGAGTAAAGGTGTTGTAACTGTTCCTGTATTCCAGTCATTGGAGGCATTCTGGCCTGGGTTGCAGGTGAGAAAAATTAAGTATAACTATCTGCTTTCTGCAGAACTGTTTAATGATGATTGATGGCAAATTCAAGGGGGGTGGGGGCAGCTTTTCAAAATTATAAAACAATGGAGACATATATATATAATCATATTCAAATTCAAGTCTGAGAGTGCCATTTCAGGTCATTTGGAGGTGCCAAAATCATGTGTTCTTACCACAGCCCGAACCATGGTGGGACTGTGATAGTGTAGACCCTCCATCTGTGAAAGTCTGTCCTAGGTCCCTCTCTATTTCAAATTCCTGGGTAAGCCACTGATAATTAAACAAAGCACAAATATGTAAAACTTACTGCGAGCCACACCAAATGAAACTATTCAGAAATTTATATCTTTCTTTTTTTTCCTTGGCATGACCTACAGGCTATATCTTGGGGTTTTTTTTATTTTTTATTACAGGATTTTTTTTTTCTTTATTACAGGATTTTTTTTTTCTGAATTCCTACTTGGATTACAGGTCTCTTGGATATTACCCTTATTAACATCTTTAACCATGAAATTTGCAGCAATACAATCCAGGGGTCTAATTGCAAATACCAAAGATTGCTGCAGCATTGTTATCCATGGATTTGAAGCAACATTATCCAGGGTCTCTTTAGTATTCATTTTACATTTTTGCAAGTACTTAGGATTGTTGCAGCATTACTTTCCATGGCCTCAATACTTTCTTTTGGTTTCTGTGGCGATTCTGCAGCATTGTTATCCAGGGATTTGAAGCAACATTATCCAGGGTCTCTTTAGTATTCATTTTACATTTTTGCAAGTACCTAGGATTGTTGCAGCATTACTTTCCATGGCCTCAATACTTTCTTTTGGTTTCTGTGGCGATTTTAATTATTGATAACTTTCCTGTTTTATTTCACATGACAGAATTGAATGAAACTGACATTCACATTTGCAGAGTGGTTCAAAATTCATAAATTGGTGGAAAATAATTAAAAGAATACAGTTCAGATCATCAAAATATTTTACAAAACAGATAAAATTCGCACAAGGCAGCAAAAATAACAACAAAAGATGAAGGAAGGATGACCCATGAAAGTTTTCTCTAAAAGGTACAGCTTATTTCCAATGGGGTCCTACATAAAACCAATTATAAACAGGAAAGTACTATAATTAAATATGGTAAAAAAATTCAAATAAAAACGTTAAATACAGACAAAAGGCATCAAAACAATTTATGTTGTAGAAGTGTAAAAAAGTCAAATACATAGTATTATTAAATATAATTCATCTTTTTATATATTTTCAGAGTATGATGGGAAAAATTGATGATGGTATGAAATCATTGCATAACTACTACCAGGTCTGGCAGCAGTTGGGTTTCCTCCCGGAATTTTATAACATAGTTCATGGCAAAGTGGTAGATAAACGTGACGGATACCCACTTAGGCCAGGTAAGAACTCAAGTTAAGATGTGACATGGAATGGACACAATCTGCAGCAGTCGATGCTGGTCGATTCACATGACATATGAGGCCTGTCATCCCAAAATCAGTGTACTATTGCTAAGTTTAAAATTAGCATAAAAGGTTGTGGCAGTATTGTATACTTTAGTACAGAGAATCTGTAATACTTTTACTCATAACTTTGGCAATAGTAAGCCGATTATAGCAAAAGACCTATCATTTTAAAGCTCTTATAATGTGGAGAATATGAATATGTTAAAATGTCTATTTTTTTATTTTGGTCATTGATGCATTTTTGGCATGGCAAGCCCCATATACTCGGTGCAAGAAACACAGCGAGATGCAATTTGCTTTTCCTTACTCTTACACAGATCACACTAAATTCTATACACCCAGTGGTAGTCATATTTTTCAATTTAGGAATTTCTATTGGGAAAAACCGTTACATCTTTTGTGGTACACTGACGATAATGAAATTTCGTTAAATTCCATTTCACTTCTTCGTCTCATAAAAATAACAAGAAGAGAGCAAATCCAAAATTAGAACTAAATCAACTGTCAAGTGGATTACTTAACAAATAGACAGAGACACAATGTAACAAAAAATGTATAATATATCATAATAAACCCTTAAAATAATCTTTCAAAACTTTGTAAAATATAAGTTTTTTTTTGCACATCATTCAGCAAATTATCCCAAAGACGACAAAAATAATTACAAATAGAATATTTAAACAATCAGTTCTGGCATAAAACAAAAATATACAGTGTTTTTGTCACATCTTATAATAGATCCCAGAACATTTTTCTTCATTGTTCTAATAGTCCAACAAAAAAAAAAAAACACTTTAACAAAACATCTGGGTTTTTCAGGGCACTATAAATACAAATTATTTTGTAACACTTCAATCTTTCATTCATTATTTATTTTTGCCTTGCTTTTGTTTCAAGTAGTATGGCCTTCTCAGAGCCAAACACTGTTTTTTCAGAAGGCTCAACATGCAAATTACAACATGTATATAAATCAAAATGCAATACATTTATCTTTTTCTCCATTTCTTAGAACTTGCAGAGAGTATAATGTACTTATACCAAGCAACCAAAGATCCATTTTTGCTCCAAATGGGCAGAGACATGATAGAATCCATAGAAAAAGTTGCCAAGACCAGGTGTGGCTATACATCAGTAAGTAATTTTCATTATCATCAACACTAGTCAATAAAGCACAAGCTTAGTTGTCTAGTGGTTATGACACCAGGTTAGTTATCTGGAGGTTGTGGGTTCGATTTACACCCGAATCACTTGCACATTTTTTTTTTCGCAAGTGTTTGGGAAGGTACTGAATATTTGGTACAATTACACGTCAGTTAGGGCAAAACATAACTCTTATAATTCTCATTATCTTATTTATTTATTTTTTAATGGAATTTTTTTTCTATAGATTTCCCTAAATAGAAATTCTTTTGTGTCTAGAAAATTGTATCATCGAATAAAGGGAATAAATATTAGTTTTTGTAGTTTAGCACTTAAATTTGCAAAACTGTTGTTTTTTAACTCCTCTGTAATTAACTATGAATGCAGTGGCGATCTCCATCACACGCTATTAGCCGATAGTTGTGGGAACTTTCAACTATATACAAGGTGGGCAGGGCTTATGCAAAAGTCTATATGAGGAATAAATATGAATCTTGTAATTATTGAAGAAGATCTGCTCATATATGGAATGATGTTGTCATATCACACACACACATGAAATAGTGTAACAAGTGTAAAACTATCATGAATGATGAAAGTACTGTACTAATTTCATTTCTATAAAAAAAAAAATATAACTGGAAACAACATAAACAAATACATCTTTATTCAGATATTTTTTATTGGCCTTTAGTAGCAACAACTGAAGCAATATTTTGATTTCCTTACTTATTCATACATAATGTTTATTTTTAGGATAATGCTAATGAACAGATTTTATATTTGTTTTTTCTTTTGATAGATAAAAGATGTCCGGAATCACCAACTAGACAATCGTATGGAATCTTTTTTTCTATCTGAAACTACAAAATATTTATACCTTTTATTTGATCCAGATAATAAAATTCATGGCACTGGGGGTAAAGGGGAGGTTATAAATACAGATTCCGGAAGCTGCGTTGTAAATTCTGGCAGTTATATCTTCAACACAGAAGCACATCCTGTGGACATAGGCGCCCTCGATTGCTGCAAAAAACAACCCGCACAAGAGGAAATAGAATTTGCTTTTAATGTACTAAGAAACAATAAAAAACGTTTACAATTCTTAAATAATTATGTAAACAGTGATCAGCACACAAGGCGTGACCTCACTAGTACTTTCAATTGCTCTGCACGTCCGTTTTATTCTAGATTATCAATTTTAGGTGAAATGTTTGAGGAAGAGATTATCAAACAAGCTAAACTACCAGAAAATGTATGTCAAGATTCTATAGCAAAACCATAACCATTGAGTACAGTATTAAAACAGTTGTTCTTTTTTTTTTGAAATGGATATTAAATTATTGTTAGACTTTAAAAAATAAACAAATAAATTGAGTAGTTTTATGTCCATGATGTTGTCTTTCATGTTCACTGATTTATCAGTTTATTATTGCTTAACTTATTTGGGAATTAAAATGATTTAACAACAACAGTTCCTTCTGCCTTTAAACCTTGAACAATTTCTTACTTTCTATTCCTCTTAACATATTTGCACAGTACTCAAACAGTTTTGAATTCCCAGATAGTGAAACAGATCTTATAATCAAAGCTTTCACATCTCAAAGTTGGGAAAAGCAATATTCACTGGATGGTTTCAATTATAAGTCACCAAGAACCAGGGCGTTCACTGGCTCTTGTTCTAGTCCTTTTAAAAGTTGATGGTGATTTTTTACTTTGTTTGCGAAATGGAAGTGGAACGCCAAATTGCGAGCACATTTTTTGTAACGCTTTTTCATACTCCTGGTTCAATTTGGCAGACTCGTGTAATGCATACTTAAGATCTTCAATTTCTTCAAAAAATCCCTGAAGGAGAAAAAAGAAGAAGAATAAATTCCAAATTTCATGCTGCTTTCTGTTCTAATACTGCGCTTGGTCATACAGTACTTAAATTCAATTCAACTTCAAAAATATTTTATTATCCGGAATGAAATTCATTTGCTCATTGCATGATATATAAAAAAAACAATGCCCAATGAATAAAAGATATATAAAATACAGTAGTTAAAACATGAATAAATAATTAAATATGTAAATAAATGAATAATTAAATAAAATGATTTAAACAATTTTAAGAATATCAAACTTTCTAGACCTGTATATTATTTTTATTGTTTTTATTATTATCATCATTTTTATCACACTCACACTCTGATTGCTGTTGGAATAAAGGATTTTCTGTACTGCTCAGTATTTGGAACTAGTTGTATTTGTTTAAGGCATATAACAGACAAAAATAGCAAACTCAAACGCTTTCTAAGTAGCAACCCGTTTCTCACAACAAACATGTAAACAAGATAGAAGTCTACATAAAGTATGTCTTGGTTAAATTCTATTCCTGCTACAAATTTGTTGAAGTTTGTCAGATTCAGACCAGTGGTGGCGCCAACGAGGGGAGGCCTATTTAAATAACGCTATTTTGACTGGCAATCCCTAATATTGTGGTCTAAAAGCACATGTTGGACCATATTAAGCCATATAAACTCTCCCTGTGAACCCTGCAAGAGAGTTTTTATTCTGGGCCATCTACCAAGGTTTTATCGGCCTCTTGGCTTGGACCCCTCCTTCGGACATGTCGGACCCCTTGTCAGTTAATTTCTGCCGCCACCGCTGATTCAGATACAACAGAAAATGTTAAAAAGAAATAAGAAAACTTTATTTAAATATCAAAATATATTTTTCACCTCATCCAACCCTTTCAATTCACTGGACAGTTTCTTTTTCTGTTTGTACATTTTATCCCGCTCTTTTTTCACCTTTTCTAGCTCTGTTCTAAGATCTGAAAAACAAAGAAATTAGCTGCAGGAAGTGAAATTACATAGCTGAATATTACTAATGTCTTTTGACCGCATAAGTGATGCAGTGGTTTGGTGCCTGCTTTCTAATCTCAAGAGTTCTGGGTTCAATTCCTTCAAAAGGTAGTATTTACAAACTTCTACTAAATGAGATACTATTGCCATAGAAACATGCGGCACAGTGGTTGGGCATTGGGATTTTCATTTGAAGGACATGAGTTCTAGTCTTCGGCAGATCTTGCCACATGTGCAATATATTAATAATAATAATATTTCATCTAGGTTTGTTTGGAATACTATATAAAGCAAGTAGCTATTTTATTTATTTTTTTTAGCTGATAGAATAACAACACTGTTAAATACTTTGATAAATCATTATATAATAATTAGGAAAGTACAATAAAAATTATTGGAGTTTACCTAGTGAATTATCTAATTTTTTTCTGCTGCGACTGTTTTCGTGGTGTGTTTCTATCTTTGGATTTGATGATTTCTCGTTGAGCCTTGAGAAGTTCTTGCTCCAATCCATTAATCTTTAGCTGCAGATTTGTAAAAGAAACATGTAATAATGATTATTATTTTGTTTAACAAAAACATGTTGACATGCCTAAATATGGTCATGATGACATCACATCATGACCATATATGGGCATACAATAGTGTTTTGTCAAACGAAATTTGATAGTCTGGATAGCGATTCACAATTCATGAAACATTTGTTGAAGTTATAATTTAGTTCTTCAATAATCTACTTTGTATAAGCAATAATCAATCTCGCATTGAAAGCAGCGATCCTTTGCAGGAAGAAACTGTATAACCAGGGTGCAAGTTTGTTAGAGCAAATACTGCATACATAGATTCTATGCATGTGATTGGTTAAGAAGCGGGCAATATAAAGTACTACTTTTCTTATGGGATAGTACCTTTTTGTTATCATGTCTGACCATACATATACTGTAAAAAAATTATCTGTTGTTACTATTTTTATCATAATTATCATATTATTTTTATCAGTTAAAAATAAATTTACTAAATATCAGAAAATATAAAACAACCACAATGTTTTTTGTTATTGCCCAAGGTTGACATTTCTTTCCAAGAAAATGAAACCAAACTGATAGTAGGCATTATTGAGAAAAGAACAGCAGCAGGAAGTATTGTACAATAGGTATACTGGGATTAATGGTCCAGGATATACTCAGCACTGGGTTCAAATGTCAAACTATTTGACTTGAAATATTACAAAGGTTGTGTGTGAAAGAATTAATCTTATTCAAATTCTGAACATAAGAATTCCTCCTTACTAAAAGTGAGGATATTGTTTCCATATGCTGTGTGTTGGTCCTCACTTCCTTTTCATAGCGTCGCATTAACTTATCATGCATAGATAGCAATCTGTAAGAAAAACATACCAGACACTTCATAATAATAAAAGCCAAATAAAAAAAATCACTAGTTTCTTGTCACATAACCATTTATCTCTGCCTCCTCACCAAATTTTTACTTAATTATTTTTTTTTACGAAAAAAATTTAATAAATAAGACAATATGAATAATAATAAAAAATAATAATAAATAGAAATAATAGAATAAAAAAAAACTAATAATAATCAGAAATAATAATAATATAAAAATACACAAAAAAAATCATTCTGGTTTACTTGTTAATATTTAATAAATAAATAAATAAGAATAATGTGAATAAGAATAAGTATTAAAAAAGAATCATAGAAATAATAAATAGAAATGATAAAATACAAAACTGATAAAAGGAAGTACTGTAATACTGTATAAAAAATACAAATAAAATAAAAAATGTATCTAATAAATTAACACATTATTAATAAAAAAAAAAAAACCCTCTAATATATTAACAATACATTCAAATATTTCTTGTTTACTTGTTCATTATCTAAATGTGTGATGATGATAATACAAATTCAAATTTTAATTGATCAAAGCTACAGCACCTTGTTGTCTTATCATCTTTTTCCTCTTTTTGGACTTTCTTCGGTGCGGAGATTCGGATCGGTAAACGTGCGCACTGGTCAGTTTGTGTTGAACATCTACGAACAGAAGAGATATACACATTTTAAATAGGCCTATCTAGGAAGTGGGAAATTATTAAAACACTACTTAGATTGAATAACAAAGAAAAGATTCACAAAACAAAAATAAAATTGCAGTGGAATCATACAAGAAAATTATCTGAAACAGTAATGCAAACAAATAGAACATTGAAAATAACATACGAAGATATCTGCTGACTTACTCTCGAGTAGTGACATAATTACGAAGAAGTTTCTCAATTCTACTACTTTCTTCAATTGCTTTTAATTCCATTTCAAGATTTTTGTTAATCTTCTTCAGTTTCTTCAACTTCTTCCGCATTTGTTCATTTTCAAACGAGAGCTACACCATAAATCAAATTAAGAGAATGAACACATACAACCAATACAGGATATGTGATCAGTAGAACAAAACTATAAAGCAAAGGTGTAATTAAAATACGTATGCATTTTATCAAACATTAGCCATGGCTGCTAAAATAAAACAATAAATAAGTGGATTTCCAGGTGTGGGGGAAGGTGTATAAAGCTGAGTACTGTACTGACTTCGCTCATTATGGAACTTACATAGACACCATGTCTACACCATGCATGATCCTAGTCTGGGCCTGGGGAGGTTAGCCTATAGCGCACGGCCTATAAAGTAAAACTATTGAGACCGAAATGAAGGCACGACAAAAATGATCGGATACCAGATAGTACAGAAAGCAAGGCCATTCAAGGCCCTACTGTACATACCTGCCCGCATGCGAGCACAAATCAGTGGCATATTAAGGTGGTGCGTCCTCCCCCAAAAAATTACTCGGCCCCCCCCAGTCCTCCCCCCAAAAATCACGGTCAAGTAGTTAAAAACTTATTTTGCGAATTAGCACCCCTCTCAACTGATAATCGAGCGCCCCCCCCTTCACCTTCAAGTCCCCCATCATTGTCTCTTATACACATCTAGATGTGTATAATCGCATCGTGCGGGACCGTCCTGCATTTCAAACTGACTTTGGATGAAACACGCATTTTGCAGAAACACATGCGTGATCATAAAGTCTATGCGTGATAACAAATTCAGGGGAAAATGTATTAAAAAAAATTAGAAGAAATTGGTTTTATTAAATATATAAAGAAGGTCATGCAGTAGCTTGAGTCAATACGCCTTTTTCACGAATCGATAGACATCTTGAAGTGATGACAAACATTGCGAATCAGCGGTGCGTAACCAACAGAAATAAGATAAGCTTTTGGGTGGATTTTTTGACATCATGTTATTTAAAAAATCATAACTCTATAACGGGGCGTTGTATCCAAAAAAAATTTCTAGCAAAATGTTCTTAAAAGACTAGTCTACACCACTATATGATTGAAAAATTTTGTTGACCTCTTAAATCAAGATTGAAAAATAAAAGCCTATCTCAGTAGTGTATTAAAATAGGTATATGCATTACAGTGCTGTAGTACTAGAAATACTCTGAACTAGCATTGTTTTTTAGTTACCATATGAGAGTTTCCTGTGTTAAAAACATGATTTACTATACTATACCTCTTTATAAAACATAACTTGTACTTTGTAATAAGAGAAATATGTATATTATCGCTACTTGGAACAGTATACACATCTAGATGTGGATAAGAGACAGATATAGTGGTGTAGACTGGTCTTTTAAGAACATTTTCCTGGAAACACTTTTTGGATACGACGCCCCGTTATGGAGTTATGATTTTTTAAATAACATGATGTCAGAAAATCAGCCCAAAAGCTTATCTTATTTCTGTTGGTTACGCACCGCTGATTCGCAATATTTGTCATCACTTCAAGATGTCTACCGATTCGTGAAAAAGGCGTATAGGAGAGCTTTTGTTTCTCGTACGAGAATCAATTCTCTTTCCCCACCAAAACAACCCAGCCGGCCAACACGCACTTAGTAGAATCTAGTCACGTGCAGTCTTACACGTTCATTGTAACAACCAACCATTGATATGACTAGAACCGCACCTAATAAGCTAGAAACCAGGGGCCCTGGCGCCCTCCCCACTAAACTGGTGACGGTGTAGTCACGCACTTCAAATCTCTCAGGTTGGTAACTACTATACCAACCATCAGTACCCCCATTTCAAGATACGCCACTGGCACAAATGAGGCCTGCTAGGGCTAGGTAGGTAGCCTAGCTAGCTAAGCCCTAGGCCTATCTACACATATATACTGTACTCATCATCCATTCATCATTCATCATAATCTAGCCTAGCCTATAATATATAGACATCTTTAGGCTAGGCTCCCGTGCGTGTGGCATGTTTTGAATAATAATTCAAGTTTCTAGAAAAAAGGTTTCAAAAATCAGTGCAAAATGTTGTTACAGAAAACGTACATACATGTGAACATTTATGAATTCCTGGAATATCCATTATTTCAACAAATACTGGTAATAGGCCTAGACCTAGGGCTACCCTGCCTCGAAAAATGGTACAAATCTTTAAATTTCCCGCTGTTGTACGCCCTCTCCCTGTTTCATATTTGCCCTCTTATCTCCAGTAGAAACACGCCCTCCACGAGGATCATTTTTTTAAGCGTGTTGGCGCTACACCCGGAAATGAAAAGCGAAAAACAAACACAACATACTAAACCGTTTGTCTTTGCGTCACATAGGGGAATTCCCTAAACTACAGACTTTCAGTAACGTACTGCAACATTGGTTCGTGGTTCATCACAACCCTGCCCTCCAACAGCCTCTTACAAGGAAACAAGTAAACGTTTCTTTAATTGTCAGAAGCTTAGATTACAGCTAGCCGGTCTGTGGTGGTTAATTTCACCAAAGTGAGAATATCGAAAATGAATCGTCGTTTAATACTGGGAGTCGTTGTGCTGGTCACTCTTTTAACCGTTGTAACGGAGAGCGTGAACCCTGGACTTCAAATGAAAATAACGCAAAATGGACTTCAGTATGGTAAGTGGTGATAATAGACTAGTATTATATTATTTTTATTTTAATCATTCCCAGACACAAAGCAGTGATTTCCACAGTGCAGGGGAAACAATAGGCTAATATAGCTCTACCCATTAGTCGTCACAAAAACAATGAGGTGGGGTTGTTGTAAAGGGTTTGAGTTGTAACGTTAAACAGTTATCCAGATTCCAGAATTTTCTGAGTAAGAGGTTGACATTAATGTAAATTTGATATAGACAGTCTCTGTATACGAAGTGGGCGGTCTTTTAACCACACAACGTCTGCATTATCAGACTATGGGGAAGTTGATCACGGTGTTCTATTTGGTTTTTATTAAGGTTCAGTGATTGGGATTAACCTTATCGACAATATTTTTGTATCCAAACATATTTTTGTTGCACAACCGCGTTTACAAACGATTTCATAAATGCGAACAAGAAGAGAACAGCCACAACGATCACATGAGGAGGAAATAAATGTACCAGTAAAACTAAACGTCAATGATCGTTCAAGCGTGACCTGGTCGTTGATACCTATTAAACTAGATTTGAACGAATTAAGCTTACATTTCAACTACATACCTCCCTCTAAGTAAAACCACTTATGGGACCGTGGTTTCCTGTCTTACAACGTATAAGTTGGAGGAGGGTCTATTTAATTAGAGAAATACCTGTATCACGTTAGATTAATATAAATACATTTTTGCTGATTTCAGTAAGCAAAATTGGGGTACAGTTACTAAAGAAGACACTTGCTGACACGAAAATCCCGGATATATCTGGCGACACAAATGTCGATGTAATAGGCCACGTCAGCTACGAGCTAAAAAAGTAGGTAGGCCTATCTTATTGTTAGAGTTATATCCAAAGCATGTAACCCATATCTGTTATGACTTGCACATGTAATGGACCTTTCCGCTAAGCCCCGCCCCTTGGATATTGTTGCTAAGGTCCCACAAGGCGACAGTGTTAAAACATACGAGAACACGTGCGTTTGTGGGACAACACGTGTGTTTGTGAGACGCGCGCTTATTCCTATCGCTGTTCTGATTAGTCAGTTGTTAAGTTTGATTGACACTCCGGAAAGGTCTATTTGTAGGGTTGAGTTTCTTCGGTGTGATACACACCAAGGATAACCCAAGAAAGTCCTAAGACTTATTCCCATTGGGGTCCCACTGGCGGTGAGCTGGGCAGTACAACGGGAGTCAATCGCCTACTCTTTTCCGAAGAGTGTACAGTGCTCCGTTCTTTAACATGTACATGGGCCATTTTGCACACGGGACCAAACGGCTTCAACGTCTCATCCGAAAACAGTGTGCTTTTGAAACTTGCACTTCAGCCCTCCAGCTGAAACGCAAGGAGAGCAGCGATGGGCATTGAACCGGGGACCAAGAGATCTCCACGGTTGAGCGCAAACACAGTGCCTACCACCAGTTTAGCTCAGAAAGTAGCCTGTTATCAAGCTGTTTTTTCCTTTCAATAGTATGAAGATAACCAGTTTTGATCTGCCAGATGCTAGTATTGGCACCGTATCGGATACTGGACTGAAGGCCAGCATTGTCAATGCTAGATTAAGCATACATGGGGATTGGAGTTATCATAACCATGGGTTGTAAGTGTACCACCTAATATTTGATAATTTGTTCATTACACGTAAATTTTCTATTCGAGTGGGTGTTCGTGATAGGAAGAGCGTGAAAGAAAGGAAAAGTGAGAAGAGAGAGGGAGATAGAGGACAAACGTTAGATTCAGAAAAATGTTATAAATGCATGTACAGCGTATTGATTTGACCGTGTGAACACAGTGATATTGAATCGACTGTGTGAACGGAAATAAATTAATGAGCTGAATACCATCAATGTTTTACTTCCTTTGCTATTGTTCTCTTCCAGTGTCTCCCTCTTTCTATATTTTTTAATCTTTCATTTCATTGTACTTCAGTATCCATATCAGTGACCATGGCAGTATTGACGTAACAGCTTCGTCTATTTCACTTTCGCTTGTCATTCAAATTGGTAAGGATCACGCGTCTTACGCATTTGTTGGAAAATTTTGAATTTATATGTTTTAGTTATAAAGTTTAAACTTGTTTGCTTATAAATTCCTGGCGCTGTTCTGATTGGACAGTTGTTGAGATTGACGCTCCGCCGGAAAGGTCCATAATGTTTGTTGTCCAGTGGACCTTTCCGCTAAGCCCCGCCCCTCGGATATAGTTGCTAAGGTCCCGCGCGACAGTGTTCACACGCGAACACTTGCGTTTTTGTGGGATAACCATGGGATAACACATGTGTTTGTTGGACACGCGCTTATTTCTGGCACTATTCTGATTGGTCTGTTGTTTAGTTTGATTGACACTCCTTAAAGGTCCATTGTTAATATATTATATTGGTACTTAATTTGGAACTTCATACCTTCATTCATATTTATTGTTATCGTTTAACTTAGGGAATTCGAACGGTCATTTTGCGGTATCAACTACGAATAGCGATTGCAATTTCCACGTTGGCTCGCTTGATGTCGACTTCCATGGGGGCGCTAGGTTAGTATTCGTCTCATTGAAAGTACAGTTCTTTGCAATTTCACAGTGAAAATATGTCTCTACTGTTTCTATATTTACTCTTGTCATTATAACCGGGTACAGGAAACTATGATGTGATGCGGGTATCCGTATTTTCGGAGTAGTACATCCAGAAGAATATCTCCTCGGAGATCATGTCCTGTCGTTTCAAAAGTTTCATGAGGTCGTATCACATTTTCTATGTGCGTCATCGAAACTTGTTTTGATCTCGCACATACAAAAGAAAGTGAAACCAATTGCTACCAATGGTATTTGAAATCATCAACGAAGACCAGGTGGTTAGAAAATATTTTCATTTACAATACAGTAGAAGATCCGAATTCAAATTCCAGAAATATAAATTTTAAACATTAAAGAAGTGGAATCTGCCAGTGTTAAAAACGCAAACGCCTTATATTATATTTATAGTTGATATTATCAGTATACGAAAGTGGCAGCCTGTGAGCTTGTGATTATTATCTATTTTAATACAGACAAATGTATACATCTATTCGGCCGTTACGTGGCAAAACAACGTAACTTGAAATTTTCACTTTTGGAGAAAAAATAGAGTTAAGGTTTGCATGTTTGCAACTTGCAGTAAATTTTCGAACCCTTTTGAAATTTTGCAGGATTGTATATATGTAGGCATTGTGTTTATATGTACAAATTTTAAATTACAACCGTTTGTTTATTGGAAAGTTATTAGCGACATTCACAGATAGGCCTACGTTGTTTTGCCTCAGGAACAATCAGGCTCGTTATTATGTTAAGTGTGACATATTTTTGGATTTTTGGGGCAATCGCATGCATTATCTAGATTGTTCATATTTCGCTGTTATTGATTATTCATATCAAAATACCATACCAGTCGATTTTGCTTTGCAAAACTCAATCAGCATAAATCCCATACAATACCAAACCAATACATACAGCCCAGGTGTGAATGCAAATAGTGGAACACGAGCTATGCGTCTATTCGATTGTGGAATGTTATCGGACTTGAGGCTTAGTTTCAGTAGACACAGAGAATATTTTGTCATTCGAGTCCTACGAAACTCTTACCAACAACACTAGTTGCTATTGATGCACAGTAGAGATTGTGTCTTTAGACCTCCGATCTTGTTCACTGGCCACCAACTAGTGTTTGCATTGTGTGGCCGTTTGTTTTTAAGGGTTTATCCCATTTGCCTATTAAAAAATATATATTGTCATTAAATCTCTTTTGAGATCAGTAGAGATTGTATCTTTCCTGCTAACTGTCAGTGGCAGTTAAAGTTTGTATGTTTGCAACTTGGCAATAAATTGTCGTGCCCATTTCAAATTTTGCAGGATTGTATATTTTTAGACAGCCGTTTGTTTATTGAAAAGTTATTAGCGATATTAACAGATACGTTTTTTTTGGTTTTTTGCTTTGGAAACATATCAGGCTCATTATTGCGTTAAGTGTGACATATTTTTGGATTTTATCACGTTTTGGGAAATCACATGTATTATCTAGCTTGTTCATATGTCGCTGTTATTGATTATTCATGTGAAAACACAATTAACCAGTTGATTTTGCCTTGCAAAATTCCATCAGACTAAACCAATTTTTAAATCGCAAACAACGTATATCGTAGATTCGTTGTTTTGCCCCGTAATCTTGCAGTTACAGTACGTTGTTTTACCACGGAAATTCACTGGATTTTAGGTTTGTGCTTAAAGATAGGTGGTGCTACTCCCGCAATGACTCATTAATGAGACCTGAAATGTTCACAGGTAACAGAAGTGTTATAATAATACAAATTATATTATCTCAAAATCGACAAAATTGTCAGTTACGATATTTTGCCTCGGGAAAACCCCCATCATTTGTATCTCTAAACATTTTCAAAATCAATCTTATTTACTAAAATTAAAAGTTGAAATGTACAAGCGCAAGATGGTTTTTTGTTTAAATGCTGTATAAAATTACAAAGACAATGTGATGCGAACATTATTATTAAATTCATATAACCCATAGGTATATTATTATATCATTCTTTATTCAGCATATAAAAATGTACAAACATTTCAGGTCACGTTCTGCGCAAGCAGAACATTGCAGGAAAAATGACAACATTCACAAGTTTACAATACACGAAAACGGCAATTCCATATAAAAAAAAATAAGATGAGTTTAAAATCGGGTTACAAAAGAAAAAAAAGAATATGTATTTAATAAAGTAATGGAATTGAGAAGTGGTCCGGCCAAGAGCCGGTGCGACCGGTGCGGTTCCGACGGCCCTGGTTGAGACACAAGCACCCGATCGTGCCCACAGTGCTCTTAGGTCCGACTGTGAGCAGGTTAATGATTTACAATCTAGCTTTAAAGTGTTGCCTGTTTTCTATTAATTATTATTTACAAGACTATTACAATTCGTTAACACAAAAATATCTGATTCTGCTTCAGTTGGCTTTACAATCTATTTAAAGGAACAATTGCTGACAGCATTCAAGATGACCTTAATAAACAGGTAGGCATTATATTACATTATATTGTGAGAGCAGCAGCTCAGTGTGAGGGCAGCTCAATCCAGTCGGCTAAACTGGTGGTCGCTACCGTGTGTGCGCTGAACCGTAGCGATCTTAGTCCCTGGTTCAATTTCCGTCGCTCGCTGCTCAGCTAGAGGGCTGAAATGCAAATCAATATAGCGCACCGTTTTTCGGATAATACAGCATTAGTCCCGTGTGTGCAGTGTAGACCATGTGTAAGTTAAAGAACGCAAAAGTAGGATATATCTCCCGGTATATTGCCCAAACACCACCAGAAGGATTCCACTGGAAATAATTCTTCTTCAAACTTAATGTTTAGGCTACAGCAAATAAATCCATCCATAAGAGGTATGCCAAATAAAGCTGCACTACGGTAACCTTCCGTTGTTTTTTTTTTTAAATCTAATTATTTAGATGTGTGATGAAATCATTGAAGAAGTCAACGGAAAATTGGCAGAGGAAATTGCAAACATTAAATGTGAGAATGCCTGTTAACTGTAAACAAACATCATTATCATTGTTGTCATCATTATTCATTCATTTATTCATTGTGGTCATCATTACCATCGTTGTTGTCGTCGTCATCATCATTCAAATTAGATTATTATTTTATTACTTCTATCAAATTATTATTATTATTATTATTATTATTATTATTATTATTATTATTATTATTTTAACTACATTCATTAATACACTTATTATTACTATACTAATTATTGTTATTGTCAATGTACTGTATTTATTACAGTACTTTTCATTTGTGTTATTTTAATTTTAACCGTCATTTCAGTGGTTGCCGATATTGATGATTACGCCTATGTTGATTATTCTCTTGTCTCATCCCCAAAGTTTTCCAGTCAAGACCTTAAATCTTTCCACAAGGTACGAATATATTTTTAGTTTGAAACAAGTGTTGCTCTAATTTGGTGGTGGCCATTGTGTGTGCGATGGACCTTGAAGATTGCCTTTCCACTTTAGGAGCTTGAATTTCATCAGGGATTCCATAATTTTCTTTGGGATTCTGGTACATTTCCAAATAGGCCTAAAATACTTGACATTCTGTAGCAGAAAATCCAAGACTCAGATTTTTTTTTTCTCCAATAGAAACGACATTTTTTACATATGTGTATGGGTTGATCCTAAATAATTTTTCATTACGTACCGTTTCTTAGGCTCTATTTTCCTCTTTTACAATAACATATACTACTGTACAATAACAATTGTTTATCTTTAAAAAGTGTGTAAAATATGCACAAAATAAGAACATTTTGAGCATGAAATCGGCAAAAAAAATAAGAGAAACAAAGAGTAGTTTAGTATTTTTTTTATGCCAAATACCGACAAATATGGCTGAGAACACTGATATTTACAATACAAGTGAACATTTAGAAAAAATAGAAATTTTTATTTTTGTAATATAATTATGTAACATATCTCAGTACAATATATAGGCCTAGGTCTGACGAGCGCGACTGGCCTGCTTCATACTTCAGGACAGGACATCATCCCTTGAAAAATCGCAATTGTGGAGATTTTTCACGCTCGCAGACGCCTCTTCTTAGTCGTTTACAATTTAAATTATTATGTAGTTATATTTTGTGAAGAGTATGGTATGTATTGACTTATGTTATATTTCCCAGGGTGAAATTTTGTCACGGAAAGACCATCAAGATGTTCCTGTGCCAGCGCCACCGATCCCAGCCGACAACAACACATCTTCAAGGATGCTGTACCTGTGGCTAACAGAGTATGTCTCGGCTTCGGCAGCCTACGTTTATTACAAATCAGGCGTTCTGCAATACAACGTCACTAACGACATGGTAATTGGCTTAATATGAGGCATCTTCAACATAATTTATTAATTGGCACTAAATAGACCTCTATGATAGACGATGCTATGTGCAGTAAGGAAAACGTTTGGTTCCCCTATTTGACACGATAATACATTGGTAATAATATTGACATTCTCAACCAACAACAGTTCTTTTCAGAACCATCTACGTGGTGTACCACAAGCATTAATATATATTATTACTTCACCATGCAAACCTTCAAACAATATTGATATTATAATTATAGTAATATTGACATTTTTATGTCTTTTAAGATTGAGTGTTATTTTTACAGGTTCCGCCACCATTTTCACTAAACACTTCAAGGTTTCCGTTTAGTAATGCAATCCCACAGGTTAGTCTACCAAAATATTAAAATGTTGATATGTTTTATTTAAAAAGTGAAAAAGAAAAAGTATCGCGATACAAAGCCCCTTCTTTAGTTTAAAAAATAATCTGCAAAAGCAGCCCATGGGCTTCTAATCAAGATAATAATAATGAGCATCTTTCCAGATAATACTTACATTCAGGCCGACGTCATCTTTGATGATTATGACAGCGTGTCAGTATGAACCGTATTTTATTGTACTAGCATGGTTAAAAAATTAAAAGCCTTAAACAGAATTTCAAATTCTATAGTCAAAAAATGTTGTATAGTTGAAATTTCAAAATAGACAACATTAAATAGAAGCCCATCCAGGGGTCCTGATATAAGAATCCCAGGGCTTCTATTCAACGTTTTATGCTATAATGCCCCCGTAGTATAACACTTAAAAAATTAATAGAGGAAAGACCGCTTCCAGAGTCACTAAAACGGGGCGAATTTAATACTGAGCGTTTATACGTAGCAAAACACTTGATTACACGAATAAACTTTGATTAAATAAAAAAAAACATAAAAATTGTTGTTTTTTTTCAGATTGGAAAACATTTTCCAAATTTAAATATGACCATCGATGGAAAAATTACAAAGCCGCCTGTTCTGAATATGACATCAGCGGGTTTGAAGGGTGGTATGGTTGGTCAATTGGATTTCTATGCCATTGAGAAAAATAAGACATTGATATTTTTATTCTCTTTATCCGTGGTGAGTATTAAGTTCGGTTCACACTAACAAATCTTGTGTGACAATGTGATATGTCTATATTTTTTGGTGTAATATGACATCAACAGGCCCATGTATGGGCACATCACACAAATTTATAACATAAAATTTAATAGTGTGGAGAAAGCTTTATAAGGCATGCATTATTTTTATATTATGCATTTGCGCGCATTTCTTAGTTTTAACCGCAGTTGCAGAAAATTACATTAATCCCACAGTGTCGACTACACTTTTCAGGAATGCTATCAAACTTAACGACTGACCAATCCGAATAGGTCCAGGATCACGTGCACGTACCACAAACATAATCCCACAAACGCACAATTACGCTGCCGATTTTATCGGACCTTAGCAAGAATATCCATGTGGCGGGGCTTAGTGGGATTGAAAGGTCCATTGAGATGTGATTTTAATGGAAATTTACCCCTCTCCTTGCTTAATTAACAGATTGTTCGCCTTTAGAATTGGAATTCTATAAAATCAGGATATACACCTATTACTACCTGTTGCTCATACAGTTGTTTATTTTTACAGGCTGTGAATTTGTCTGCGAAAGCTGATGTCAACACAGTGAAGAAAACAATTACTGCAAATTTTACCCTCAACTCGTGAGTAACAACATCATTAATTCTTAGACTCTGTAGAAATTCAATCTTTGTTGACAGTCTGTCTTAACAATTTGTTAACATAGAGGCCTATATCTATTTTTGCTATAATCTTAAACTTCTTTATGATTGATCAGTACCCCTTGCCCATGATTAGTGTTCTTAATAGTTATTATTTAAAAATAATATCATCATGACATTATATATATATATATATATATAGGTATGTATCATCTTTCATGGATTTTACAGAAAAATATGCTATAATTTTATGTGTAGATTGGAAATGAGTACAAACAATTTAGTTAAAACCGTTTATCAGAACTGCCTTAGAGAATCAGTGCTTTACTCAAAATGGATGACAATTCTCCGGGTTTAGTGTATACAGTATCTTTGAATTTTTATGATGCTCTATTCTGTTTTTTTCTTGCATTTGTAATGTTCCTTTTTTGTATTTTGAATTTTATTTGGCTTTTGATTGCTGAAATAAAGATTTGAAAAAAGCACTTATCAATTGCCTTTCTTTATCTATTAGGTATAATTTGAAACTTATCGAGTCCTCGCCTGTTCTGGGTGACATAAGTGCAGACGTAAGAAGTCTACGAATTTTTTATTTAATCTTTTCTCACGTTGTCTGCTGAATTTCTTCTTGAAAAATAAATAAATCTTCATTTCGATTTGACTCATTTCTGATATCGCATGATGGGATGAAGTAGACAAGCTCAGTAGTCGTCTTGTAATTGACAAATTATATATTTTTTTCTTTACATAGATTAAGAACTTGAATTCGTTGATGAACATGCTTTTTAATTTTATTGTCCTGCCAGAACTGAACAGTAAGTTGTTTTATCACATTATCTTAAACAAATATTATGCGATCTCAAACTTTTGAGGACATTTTTTCTTCATCAATACTGTATGATAAAATAACTATATCTCTTTAGAAAAGGGTTCTGAGGGTCTTCCAATACCAAGCGACGATGGATTTGACCTGGTGAAGCCTTCTATTGATTTTGGCGAGGTAAGAACTTTCCAATTAAGATATACTCTATGATAAAATCTAAAAAAACACCCTAAACAATTCAATGGAACTTTAATTTAGCAAGGAAACCAGATCATATTGTGACCAGGAACACGCGCACCACCTGTTAGTTGGCGGGGAAAAATAATCATACTAATTATCAATTTTACTTAATTTACAAAGTAATTCATACATATATAATTGCTTAGACAAACACTCTCTAATTTTAGTTGTGACAGTTTATATTTATAATTATTTGATGGTGGTGGTAATGGTGGTGATGATTATTATTATGATGGTAATAATGATGATGAATGTCATGGTGATGATGATTTTGATGGTAATGATGATATGATGATATGATGAATGAATGAAGATAATGATAATGGTGATGATGTAGGTGATGGTGATGATGATGATAAAATGATGATGATGATGATAAAATAATAATAATAATAATAATAATAATAATAATAATAATAATAATAATAATAATAATAGAATGTTTTAAAATTATGAAGTGCTTTCCGTGTATATTTTGTAATTTGATACGCTGTTTTTTTAACATTTGTTTCAGGGTTTCATACGGATTGCGACTGATATTAACTACACCGTAGCTACATAGAATCTTGTGAAAAAAGGAACTTCTCACAATAAACAGAAGTGTACAATAGTTTCTTCCATTTTTAAAAAGTTTTTTATATACATTTCACCAAAGCCAAATTTTCTGAAGTAGGGCCTACAGATATATACAGTTTTTACATTTAGTACTAGTGAATTTGTGGAAGTGGTTTGGCGCAGTGGGAATGGTTTGTTTTCTCAACCTCAAGGTCGGAGTTTCAATCCTTCGCTCTGCATTTCGCTTGTCTTTGAGCAAGGCAATTTATCTACATTGCTTCAGTCACCCAGTTTTATCAATGGGTATCAGCAAATTGCTGGGAGTAACCTGCGGTGGAACAGCGTCCCGCCCAGGGGGAGAACGGTGTAAGTATTTGATGAAGGGCGAGGGAACAGTGTATCTAGGCCTTCCCCAGGTCGTTGGGTTTAGGATATTTGTTATGAGCTTGTTCGGAGTTGTTTGGTGTTTGGGTCAATGTGACGCAGGGCGTCGTACAACGACTCCAACTCCGCTCCAACTTGAGCGCGCGTCGTGGAGCTGCGTTCTTTATATACCTTTGTATAGAGTTTTCTATAGATTTCTGTTAATTTTTTTTTTAAATTTAGTTGTGTATTTTGAATTTACAAATTCATGATGGAGTCGCCAACTTGGGGCACATATGCTAGAATTCTGAAGGGAAAGGGGATTTTATAGAAGCTATTCAAAAAAAAATTCCTCCATGATCGGACGTATAAAGTATGATACTGTACGAATGAAACCTCGTAGATAGGTTCTACATTATTCGCTCATAGGTTTGTTGTAATATGTAGCATTAAGATTCAATAGTATTAAATTATATAAGAAATGGAATTTGTATATTGATACCGTTCATTAGTCTGATAGCTGAATGCCCAACTGGGGTATACTAATCATCTACCATCGGTCACTAAATAGACGACAACATCACCCCTTGGTCAAATAGACATAAAAGTTTTCACGCTGTAGAACCAAAATGTTGACAGGTCAATCTATAACAATTGAGTGTTTTTCAGTAATCAAGCTATTAAATCATTAAGATTTTCTTTATGATCCAATCGGATAATAACATTAGGGCGTGAACTATGACAAATAAAAAAAAATGTAAGTATACGAAAGCAGGGAGTGTCTTAATAACTCCCAGATACTACCATTTGAAATCAGTAAGGTTAAGTAAGATAGCAACAAAAACAGCAGAATTGTAATTTTATTTTTGTATGGTCATGCAAAATATGTTGGAAAAAAGATAATAATCTTCATTACTTTTAAAATAACTGTGATAATAAAATATTGATGTAGATTGATTCTCTCTATATATGATATTAATGGTGTTCTGTTCCATGAATTTTGTTTGGACCAGGGGAGACTAAGCTTAAGTACCCTAGAACGTCGGCTGATGCAGGGATAATAAAATAATCCCTCGCCCTGTCACGCCATAATACGGAAAAAATAATGGAATGTGTGCATTGTAGTCCTTATCTCAATACAGTATTATGAAAAATCTTAAAAGAAAAAAATAAAAAATTCGCATTCTAATTCAGATATTAGTAAACCTTTGAAAATCTGCATCTTACTGTACGATAAGCACCAAATACGAGGTTTACCGAGATAAATGTAACATTGTAATAGGCTACCGTAGTCTTTGAGTATGCGCCTACTAGAAGGACACAGACAGACAGACACAGTGTGCTTACAGCGTGCACTACTGCAATACCCTTCCCGTCTCATTCGGAGAGGCGAGGTTAATAATGTGCTTATTTGACTGGTTCATTTTGTTGAGTAAGAATTTTCGTAGACTATTATTTTTAATCGACTGGTTCGTAAAATAGACAACGTAAATTAACGTAACCAGAATGCAGTGATTGCGTTAAGTTATGCACGTGACAAAAAATATGGCCGATTGGTCAGTTTAGCAACAACGTTTGCGTTAATATAATTTAGATTAAATTTCAGAAAATAAAAAATTATAATATTTACCCACATTAAAGTAAAAAAATAATTGTAGGCTAACAGAATTCAAAAACGGGATGAAAACATTTTTTTACGAAAAACCCATAGTGCCACAATCTGAAGCAGCCTTGACTACGCAGCGTGTATCGCGGTTACTATGCAGCCATTTTTTTTGTCAAGTATTTACCAGTTTTCTATTCGACTGGTCGTCTTCGTTAAGTAGGATTTTACCACTGCGCAGGTGGGCGTGGTTTGACAAGGAAGACCAGTCGAATACGGCCAGTATACAGTAATAAATCTCAATACAAGGCTTATGAGTGGAAATGTTCATTTAGTTGAACAAGGCAGCGGTATGCACCTCTTAAAAATTTCAGGTTTCAGATCACATTGCAAGTCACATCAGGTCACATAATTAAAAAAAAAAACTTTGTGAGAAATAATAAATTCCTTAAATAACCATCATTTTAAGTTCAACAATTTCAAATAATATGAATAAAAACAAAATTCCAAGAAAATTAAATCTGACGCCTCTCTCTCAGTGATAAAAGACACACGCCCTCCTCGACGACGTAACCGGAAATGAAATGAAATGAAATACCACAGGGGAAATTCCCTAACACCACATCGTATCCAGGTAGCTTTGCTTGTGCAAAACACAATTTTCATCACCTACCGCCCAAACCAGGAGGTACCCAACAGGACGTCTCCCACAAGAAAAGAAAACAAAGAAAAAGAAATGGATCAACTTTTCTTTTATCGGTTTTTCATTAACTGGCAAGAAGTTTTTGTTTGTGTCACCAAATCCAACATTCAAGAGGTCGTTATGATGAATCCCCTAAAAGCGGTCGGCGTGCTGATGATCACACTATCATCAATCGCCGTGATTCGTCGGACACTCAGTACGAACCCTGGCCAAATTCTAATGAAAATAGCGCAATGTGGACTTCAATGGTATGGTAAGTGTTGAGCATCCAGATAGTATTTGTTGAAACAGCAATTTTCAAGTTCCGGAGGAAAAATAATAGCCTACAGGCCTATAGACTGCCCCAGGCTAGGTGGCGATATGTGAGAGGAGATAAATGATAATAATAAATGATGTTAAATAAGCCTATATTTGAGATTTTTCTTTTTCTTGTAGAACTATTATGACGTTTCTTTATTATTGTTGATTGCAAATTAGTTAACGAGATTAGTGGTGATTTTGGCTGAGTGTTCATTGTATAGTAATGCAGAGGCCTAGGCCCTATATTGTTGCTGAGATCAAAACATTAACTGTATGTTAGTGAAAAGATTCATTTGGATCTCTGAATCCAAAGCTCGAGAATAAGACGCAAGTTAAACGTTTTTAAATATTTTCGGATCATCAAAAAGAAATTCTAACAAACATTGTCGGCCTAAATTGCTCTTATATACAACATGAGGTAAGGTAGTAGGGTATAATTGAAACAATTCATTTTTATTTCTGAAATGCATAATGCAGTTTCTTTCCTTTATATACTGTAGTTGTCTCAGCTTCTAGCATTGGCAATAATCAATCAATTTTATTTCGGAAATGCACAATACTACAGTTTATTCCTTTATTATACTGTAGTTGTTTCAGCTCCTTGCTTCATACGTCAGCTCAGTATGTTCATGAGACTTTTATTCTACGTAACTTGAGTTACACATACTGTAATCGTGATTGTGCAACAACAATTTATTTTGAATCACCTAAAATAAGAACATTGTGATTTCAGTGAACAAATTTGGAAGGCAAAATCTGAATAAGACACTTGCGAAAATACAAATCCCGGATCGTATTTCTGATAAAACGCGTATCGCTGTGGGCGAAGTCAGCTACGAGCTAAAGAAGTAAGTATAGGCCTACGTACTTGGTACTACTTTAATTTGTATTAATCTGTTTGCAAAATATTTATTCAGGATCATATTCAATGTACAACATATAAAATACATTGAAACGAAATAAGCCTACATTATTTTTCAATAAGGTTGACGAAAGAAAGAAAAAAAAAAGTTCAGAATGATGTACAAGTACAATGTCGAAACTTAAGAGCTTCAAGTAAAACAGTTTAAAAGATATGTTGTTTATTTATATTTTGATATTATAGACTTAATCAATAAATACGATAGCATTTTATCTATTCTTCTTCTTCATGTACCATAGCATATTATGCCGTAGGCGTTCATGGATTGTCTGTCAGTGTCTGTCCTGTCTTTTTCCATCTCTTTCTATCTCTCGCAATAATCCCAAGCTTTACATCATTCTTCACATTCAGCTTTTCTTTCATCCAATCAAGCATCTTCATCCTTTGCCTTCCTTTCTCCATTTTCCCCTTCAATTCCATCTCGATGATATTTCTTTCAATTCCACCTTCTTCTCTTAGAATATGTCCAACAAATCTCCATTGTCTTTCTCTTATGGTGTTCATCAACTGCCTTTCTGTTTTTGCTTTTTGCAACACTTCTCCATTTGTCATTTTCTTTTCCCGCGAGATCTTCAACATTCTTCTGTAGAACCACATTTCCACAGCTTTTAATTTCTTGTTTATTGTCCAGGACTCACATCCATACGTAAGCACTGACCAGATATAGCATTTCAGTAATCTTTTCTTCACTTTCATTCCAATTCTCCCCGCACAAAAAAGGTTCTTCATATCCTTAAATGTTTGCTTTGCTACACCAATTTTATCTATTACCGCACCAATATACTTTTCCCTTTAAATATAGTTTGAAGATTGAATATTTTCTGCCAGATGCTAGTATTAGCACCATATCGGAATATGCAATAGAGGCCAGCATTGTCAACAATGCTACATTAAGCATACATGGCGATTGGAGTTATTGTATGTGGTTGTGGATGTGAGTATAGCGTCATTTATTCATTAAACATAACATGAGTTTGCCAAAAGGAGAAAGAAAGAGTGGTGAAAATAGGGAAGAGAAAAAGCTACCGTAGAACCTTGAATTGAAGGTCCATGGGCTTAATCGATCCCGAGGAGTAGCCCATCTCGAATTTGAGCTTCCTGGCAAAATTAGGCTCAAAAAGAAGCCCATGGCTTCTTTTCAAGATAGCATAGGCTTCGTTTCGATATAGTATACGGTAGTCTGTACATGAATTTAAAATAAATAAATAAATAAATAATTTAATTAAATAACATTTTTGACTGCTGTGAACCCGTTTTAAAATCGCATAGCAGGCTGCAACGGCTTGAAAAGGCTGTCTGCAACGCAGATATATAGGCATATGACTTGATCAATAAAAAGTTACTAATTCTTATACCATTTTTATTTTTCCGTTGTATATCTTTAATTTCCGCATCTTTTAGTATCCCATTCCGTGACCATGGCAGTATCGACGTAACAGTTTCGTCTATTACAATTTCGCCTGTCATTCGTTTTGGTAAGAATAACTCGGTCGTATATATTTGTTTTCAAATGTGAGAGTATGTATCTGTAGCCGTTGGAAGCATTTTGCAAGTGGTCCGGCCATAGTAAAAGTTGGAAAAGGGCGGGGGGGGGGGGGGGAGTGGCGGTGTTTCAACAAATTTGGTTGTTAAACTGCAGACTCGCTACCATTATCAACGGATACAAGATTTAAAATTAGTAGGGTATGAGTGTATCTAACCCGCCCGACCATGGTTTAACAACTTTTTTTGGCACCTGATGCCCGAAAACAAAATGTTACAATCTGTAGAGCCATTCCCCTCCCCTTCACCTACGAGTTTTAAAGTTAGCATGGGTATAGTGTCTATACCACAACAGCACCCACCTTGGTTGGGGCTGAGGTGAGCAAAGTATGATGGCACCTTTCATGACTTGTAGCTGTTGCCCTTCCCATCTCTACATTGGTAGACAAAAGTTATTGGGGACTTCATACCCACCTCAGCCCCATCATGGTTGGGGCTGAGCTGAGCTCATTTTTGAATATTGCTCTCTAAATGCCGGAAAATAGCAGCTGGTATAATTGTAAAGCTGAATAAATTTGTAAAATAGCAGATTGCAACTTGCAAAGCGGGTACTCCTAATTCCAACCCCATGCAGAGGCACAGAT